TTTTTCTTCAACCACCAGGGGGCGCTTTAGCAGGAAGTGAATCATTGGAAGTCACATTTGGAAATCAAAGAAGAAAGTGCTCATTTTCAACCTCATACGCTCATACGTAAACTCGGCGTGAACGTATCCATGGTTCGGCGTTGGAGACCTTATGGAAAACCGAGAGCGGCGGAGATACCACCGGCTTATAGCCCGGTTCAGCTTCTATATGTACATTTCCAGTTTTTTATTTTTTTTTATTTGTAGCTGCGGCTTATAGTATGGTGTGCTCTGTAGTCTGGAAAATACGGTACCGTAATACTCAAATAAATAAGTCTTAAGTTTAGGCTTAAACATAACTGATCTACAATCGTACATACATTGGGAAGTAGTGCATTCTGGGAGCAGTTTCAGTAAAGGAGCGATCACCCCACTGTTTGTACGTCGACCTTGGGACTTCTAAGAGGCCTTGATTTGAAGATATTCATGCATTTATTATTTGGGGGGGGGGAGGAATCTCATGTTGCAAAATAATTATTTAATATTTTTTTGTACTGCAATGTATCTAAATGCAATAGAAACATTTATTTTGAAGCTATTTACACATATTTGCTCGGCAGTAATCAGTCCACTTTGCACCAGCAGTGAAAGGGTTTGAGAGAAAAATGTAGATCTTCATGTTAAAGGAATAAAACTCTATTAACCCCGGATCCTGTTATTGAGATCAGTGTTAATTTTATAACAAACTCCACTGAAACAGACACGATTTGTCCCGTCCCTTATGATGGAAGCAGAAGAAACAAAGCAGCAAAGTATATCCACCTTATATATTTTGTTTCATAATGGCCACTAACAGCTGTTGATCATAATTCAGTAATAGCAGTTAAATCTTGCATAAAAGCAGCAGCATCAGCATTTTATCAGCGGCACAGCAGATGGCCAAACTCAGCCAGATCACATCTGCTACTCAACAACTCGCTCTCGCTTTTCTGCTTTTGGTTTTTATTCTTGCAAGTTGTAAATTTCCTCCTCTTCTTCTTTTTATTGTTGACTGTAACTTGCTTAAAAGTAACCAAATTTAAAAACAAGGTACTCCGCCAACAGAAATGTGGGGAAAAGACGTGTAAAAGCAGATAAAACGACTGCTCTGCTGCATCACAATAAACAGTCAATTAGAAAATGCCAGTAGATTCTAGTTATGTTGGACCTTTACTCTTTTTACTCTTTGCTAATAACCTGATTTGTGATGCTTTGCAAGAGTATTTATAACCCTAGGGTTTCATTTTGTCACATTTTGTTGATAAAATATATATTTTGTTGGGATTTTATGCGGAAGACCAACGCAAAGTAGTTCCTAATTGTGACATAAAAGGAAAAAGTCGCATGGTTTTCACAATTGTTTATATAAGGAATCTGAAAAGTGTGGTGGGCATTTGTATTCAGCCCCCTTGGTCAGTATTTTCCTGAACTTTCACTGCATTACTATTGGGATAAGCCTCTACCAGAATTACACATCTAAAGGAAAAGTGTTGCATCTTTACGATGCTGTTTGTTCTCTTATGTTCTCTAAAATGGATTTTATGTGGCGGTATTAAAGTAAAGGAGTTGGTTACAAACTTTTCGGATGTTCTTAAAACAAATTTTAAAATCATGTATTATCTTTCTTCAACAATTGTGCATCAATTTTGCTGGTTGATTATATAAAATCCCATTCATTCCACATGTAAAGCCAAGTGATTCCTAATAAACAAAACTTTAAAATAATATTCAAAGACTTTAATATTGCTCTTCACCATAGAATTCAAAATAAAAGCACAAAGCCATTATTGTTAGCATTCAAACTATGCACATTTTTAATATGATTCAGCTCAAGTTACTAATGTTTTTATGTGTTATTACTGGGAGGCATTGTTAAGCATTTTTTCAGTCAGGTAAATTTAGATGATATTGCACCATAGTGTTTTTAATCTTGAAGAAGTAAAATAAGGAACATTTGAAGATCACATAACAGCAGTTAGCCAAAACTTTGAGAAGAATAATGTAGCAAAGAAAGGAAGAAGAAAAAAAAAACATAAATGACTGTGAAGGACAACTAAAAAGAGAAATGTGGTTCAAAAAGTGTCCAACAACAGAGCTGACGCCTGGACTATAAAGCATGGTTTTTGTTTCAGAAAGGTGATTTAAAGTTTAGCTGTGACGTTAAAACAAAATGTCTGAATTATATTTGTGATATTCGAGATGACTTTGTTTAGGATTATAACCAGGAAGATATCTGCTGAGGTAAAAACCCAGTGATATTTGTACTCATTCACAAAAATGAACTTTAAATCTATAACACAATAAACAATTATTTCCATCAGATAAACTCAGCATTAGACGTCTGGTTTTTTGTGTGTGTTTTTTCCTTTTATTGGGCTTTTAGAATCGTGGAACAAATTTAGATTTAACTTTCCCCATGTGATTCAGAAACTGATGAGCATTTAAAGCATTTATGATAACCAGTTCAACCTTTCTTTCTGTTAGGTGTCCATCTCAGCCATGGCAGGAATCCTGAAACAGCTGAAAAGGCCGAGAAAGAAAGTGGCAGTTAAGCCTTCGGATATCAGTGAGTTTATACGCTCCAAGCTAAATCCACGATCAAATTAGAAGTAGAATGCTTGATTCTTGTTGGAAAAGGGCTTTAGAAGTAAGTTTTACAACATAATCTTGACTCTTGTGTAATCTGTGAAACCAGAGTGCCTTTTCATAGCTGCATATTTGTTAGATTTTTCTGTGGAACATGACTCCCAAGTTATTTGTGTGCCCTGACATGTACATGTTAAGGTTGTCAAAGTCAAGCTAGCATAACTGACCTACTTCTCTTTCTCTGGCTATTTTATATTAAAACGTTTTACTGAATCGTGGACTTTACCTTATTGTCGTGGATTTGACAATTAATAGGAAAGCAATGCATAATTTTTTCTTTTATACATCACATTTTAGTACATTTAGTGCGTTGACAACTTGACAGCTAACACTATTGGTAGTCATGGTCGACAAGCGGTTGTTTTGCCCTGCAGCAGGAAACTGGATCTTGATGTCACACTGCAGTGTATTTGTAGACAGGCATATTGTTGCAGCTTTTATTTAATAACCACAATCATGCAAGAAAGAGGAATATCCCATTTTGTCCTTTTCATAGAGCAATTCTGTCTCTGACGCTGCGAGGTAACCAGACCCATCCTGCTTTCTGCCTAAGCTGACATGTAAATGCACTTGTTGTAAAATAGTGGCTTCTTTCTCCATTTAGGTGGGATCAAGGATCCAGAGGGGATTTGTGTTGGGGATCGTGAGGGAAACTGCTGGCTGCAGTACGACAGCAGCAACCTGCCTCTGAGTCAGGAGCAGTGGGACTTGCTGCAGTACGTGGAGAAAACTCACTGGGGCTACTACTCATGGCCCAGGTAAATACAAAACGACTAATTGTCGCGCTGGTGGATTTGGAAACCGGAAGGCGGATTAACTGCTTAGTTGGAAGGAGCAAAATAGCTGATTGACTCAAGTGCCCGTTTGATTTGAGGCGGGTCTTTGTGGCTCTGCGGCCACGGTTATGTCCGACTGACTGCCGGGTGACTGATCTGGGTTGCTGGATCACTTGCGGGGGGTTGAACTGACTTCCTGTCACGGCCCGGCCCAGATAAGGCAGAATGAACGACTTACTGCCTACCCCAAATAGAAGAATTGATGCATAGGCAGAGGCGTGGCTGTCTTGGTATGCGAGCTGCGTGCTGAGTAACTGACTTTGTAATCATCCATTTATCCTCGCCGCTTATTTGAAGACAGTGTGTGTCTATCCAGAACTTTTTCTCCCTTTGTGTTGTTATCTATAAATCACAGCAGCCTCTTCTTTTGTCTGCCACTCCTTTCAGAGAAATGATGATCTATGCATCTTCCGAAAAGCCACAAGATGACCTGCCATACGAGGAGATGAGTGAGGTGTGTGCTGATGCTGCACCACACACACGCACACACACGCACACAATAAAACAAAGATCTCTCTGTGGCGCTTCATTGCAGCATTCACTTGTGTGTCAATCAGGGCGAGAAGATCATCTTTGAGTACTTCTCGGACCCTGACTTCATTGACCAGTTGATAGAGTTTCTCTCTCTGGAGGAGCGGAAAGGGAAGGACAGCTTCAACCCGCGCCGCTTCTGCCTCTTCAAGGTGTGAATTTAACCTCTCATCCACTGACAATGTGACAAATACACAGCAGGAACACAAACTCTAACCAGGATAGGTTTTCTAGTTCAGGGCTGCAGCTAACAATTATCCTACTTATTCAAAGATCTATTGATTCTTTTTGACAATTACTTGATTAATCAGATTTTAAAAAAATGGCCACATTCTGCAGATTTGTCTTTTAACTATTTAAGTGTTTTTATACATTATTATAAATACATTAAAACGAAAGTTACGTATGTAACTACGGTTCTATGAATCCCGGATGACCGCCAGAGGGCGGTGCTGAAAGCACTGAATG